AATATTCCATTGTATATATACACCACATCTTCTTTATCCATTCATCTGTTGATGGACATCTGGGCTCTTTCCATAGTTTGGCTATTGTGGACATTGCTGCTATAAACATTGGGCTGCACGTACCCCTTCAGATCACTATATTTGTATCTTTGGTGTAAATACCCCAAGCTACATTATTTTTATAGCCAGTAGCAAAGAGGTGGAATAGACCGGAAAATGGTCATTAGAATTTGTCAATGACCTAAAAATCATACTGCATTTTTTTGTCTCATCCATGGACTTGGCTTTCTAGTCAAATTATTAACACACCTTCTTTCCGCTGCTGGGGAAACTAGGTGGGGATCTCTTGGCACGTACTCCTTGATGGGCTTTCCACACTGGGCTAAGTTCTTGACTTGGCTGAAGAGTGAATACAGTGTAGGTCAGGCCGCAACTGGAGGCATAATGCTTTTTAAAGACTGGAAGAAGTGGCATTTCAAAATGGTGAGACAGTATATAGAGGTGGTACAGCAAGGAGGAAGAGAGAGAAACATATTCCAGGGCACCCAGAGGATGCAGTTTCCAAAAATAGCTGTGAACTCAAACCTGGCCCTCGTTTTGTCTCTAGCAGCAATATCCAATCTGGCCATAAGGTGGCGACCTTACTCAAGAAAAAAAATGTGCCCGTCCTTGTGACTCGGGCTATGTTCCTATTACCCTTAATTTCTCAACTTTTCTAACCTCAACTCTTTTCTCATCTCTAATGATAGCGTAGAATGGGTTTGAATTGTTTTTGCTTTTAAATTATGTTTTTACTTGCTATAAATCAGATGAGTGGAACAGTTTCTTTAAAAATTTGACTTTTTTTTTTTTTTGGTAACCTTGAACACTTCACTATAAAACCACCATTTTAGAAATGACAAAACAATTCTACAAAAGATTTTTTAAATGTGACCTGAAGTGCATTTTTTTTTTTCCTCAAAAATCAGTGACCCTCCTGCTACGGACATTCAGACATCCGTGCTGCCCAAATATGCTGGCCAGGTTACTTAAGCAAATGACAGCAGAGTTCAAAGACTTGCCAAGGACTTCCTATTGGTGTTTAATTCATTTGACTACCCTTGTCATTTAAGAGGGTGAGAGGGAGAGAGAGCTTCAGCACTCCTGGGCTTATTTTCAACCAGCGATAAAATGTGTGTATGTGTTTGGAGGGCGTGCAGGGGAGGAGAGATGGCACAGGGATGCAAATACTCTATTAATTCCCTCCAGTATTTATATTTAACAACTTAGGCTCACTAACAGGTGGCTCACACCCTTTTGGGGTACATCAAAATCATGTCATCGCATGGAATTCTCATCGATCCAATTACGGTTTGACTTAAATGAATCAAGGGCCTTTGCGTGACGGTGAGGATTTTATGGGCATTAAGAAGCAAGCATACACTGACTTCCCCCCATGTGTCCAGCATCCTGCTAGCAGGTCAGGATGCTGCGTTGGAGGGCACCAAACACAGAGGGCATCACAGTGAGCTGATGGTTCAGAGCCTCGTCGGCCAAAGTTGGGAAGGCAGCCTGGTCCATCTTGGCCAGGACACAGGCCGTCCTGCCAAACAGCAGAGCCGCCAACAGGGCCTTAAAGCAAAACAGCAGATCCATGTCATTGGCTCAGTCACAGTACTAGCGGACTCGTACTCGCCATCAGCGCTGGCACGTAGATGTTCTGTAGACTGTGACACAGAGCCCTGGGCAGAGCGCGGCCCCACGCCCCCCAGCACCGGGCCAGCAGCAGGATCCGCGGAACACACAGAACCCTGTTGCTCCTGGGACCTGTGGCCTTGTCCACCTGCTGCAGGACTGGTGGGACTGGAGGGGAGGGGGTGGTCAGCACCTGTTCTGCCACTGAGCAACTTTCACGGTCCTCAGCCGTTTCCATGAGCCTCAGTTTCCCCAAGTGTAAAGCGGGAATTTGGGGCCCTCTCCCACAGGTCTGTCGTGAGGATGAGGGTATCCCTCCATTCATCCCGGAACCGGGGATCTGCCCTTTTATGACACTGACTGCCCAGGCCCCACCCTGCTCCTGTTACCTCTTCCCTGGCTGCCTCAGTTTCCCTGGAGGTTGCCTCTGTCCTTTCTTTTGTTTTCCCTGGACCCCAGACCCAAATATTTTCTCCAAAGCAGGCACCTCTGGGCCTACATACAACCTTCTAGCAAACATTATCTTGCTACCTCTTGTATCCATCCTGAGCTTCTCTCTACCCAAGTCTACTCAACTTGTGATGGCTTGATTGCTCCTACTTCTTCCTAAAATTCATTCCAGGCCCAAAGGCAGCCAGGATCCCAGTTCACCCTCTCTTGATAGGCAGCTGAATCTTTTACAAAGTTAATTTTTACAACTGATCTTTTCTTAAAGCAAGGGTTTTTATCTAGGCCCATGATTTGTGGATTGTTCTAAAATGACCTCCTGAAATTTCATGTAAAGCTTTATTTGTGGATGAGGTTTGTTTCTCCCCAGGGAGAAGAGCCATACCTATCATCAAAATTTTTCAAGGGTCTTTTCTTAAAAAGTTTAAGAACCACTGCCTCCAAGATCCTCTTTTCCCTACAGAAAATAGATATTTATCTTTTCTTTTTTAATTTATTTTCTGGTCTCCTACTTAACTTCACTTGGGAAAACTTCAGAAGGGGAGAATAGTAAGGAAGAATGATTTTAGGTGGCAAAACCATTTTGGGGAAGTAGATACAGTATGGATTCACCCATTTCACAGATTTGGAAATAAGACCCAGAGACATAAAGTGAATGCCTGATCTAGGGTCATACAGCAAATTAGTAACAGCGTAGGGACCTGTCCAATTTGCTGCTGGCCCCAGGCCCTTTGCAGAGGCCTCCCATCCTCCTTCCAGACTCTGTATTACCCCAGGTGGGAATTTCCCTTCTCTTTCACCCAGGGCCTATACCAGACCAACAATGAATGGCTCATCTTCTTGCAGATTCCTGGGCCAAAGTCACTCATTCCTGAAAGATAATCTTTTCAAAAATCTCAAATCTAGGCCCTTAAGCTTTAGAAAAACAAACCAAAGAATGCAGAAGGCCAGCCATCCCTGGAGTAGCAGCCTGGAGCCCCTCATCTGTGACTTCTCTGGGCCTCATTGTTGTTCCTCTTGGTCTTTCTTCCTTTTCTTTTTTTCTTTCTTTCTTTCTTTCTTTCTTCTTTATTTCTTCTTTCTTTCTTTTTCCTTTTTTTAAAAGATTTTATTTATTTATTTGAGAGAGAGAGGAGACAGAGAAGGAGGAGGGGAGAGGAAACAGAAAGAGAAGAGAGGAGAGTGAGTTTTGGGGAAAGCATGAAATCGGGACCTGGACACCCTCATGATACCCAGATGATAACTGTAACCTTGCACTGTTGTCATGTGCATTTGCTTGAAAAGGAACTGTTAGAGGAATAGAAAATTAAATCTATTCAAAGCAACCTCAACCCCCTTATCCTCTAGAATATTCTTTTGTATTGTTATTGTACACCTAACTTTGCCTTTTAATCTTGAACTTTTCAGAAGATGATACGGAGTATTGGGAAAAGTACCAAACCAAAAGTCCAAGGTTTTAGTCTCAGCCCCAACTTCCACAGTCGGCACTTGGACAGTAAGAACCGATTTTATCAGTATCTACTAACTTTTCATCAACCAACCGATGGTGGGGGAGCCCTTTTGGAAATATATTTATTTTATCTTGGGGCGGAGCAGGTAAGAGGAGTTAATCTGCCGACACTCTGTGCGAGTGCATGCACTTATATATGTCATGCTTGCTTTTTGTGATCTATCGCAAGCAGTAGCTGGAGCAAGAGACTAGCAGAGGTCAAAATGCTGTGCAAGACTGAATTAACTGACTGCTCTTATTACTAAATTCTTTATTCAAGTAAAAACCTCAAACAGCATGATCATTTTTCCTTTCCAAATAGCAAGTGACCAGCATTTGGATCACTTGCCTTCATGAATATGTCCGAAGAATATTACACCTAAGTCAAGATTTTGGTACAATTGTATCGATCTGGCTAACTTTCAGGAACGTACCAATCAGCAGTCTGATTGCGGCAGGATCTTGGAAAATCTGACTTATGAGATGACAGAACCAAGCCTATTGACCTCTTGGAGCGTCTTTTGGGCTCTAAGAGTTGTAACTTTGGCAAAGTTGTCATTTTTGAGAAAAGAGGGAAGCGGCCTTGGTCTTGGGCAGTGGGGCAGGCCTGGGAGGGACTGGGGAGTCTGTGTGCTCACATGTAATGAAAGGAAACTGGGAGACAAAGGGACGGGGCAAGACACTCATTCTTGGTTCCCTTACAACATCCTCACTATGCTATAATGAGTCAGTATCTCATTACCAGAGATCAATAGTCCAATTACTTAGGAGAGACTTCCCTCAAAAAATGTTGGGTTCCCAGAAAAATGTTGCAAGGTGCAATTTTTCATCATAACACATGTACATGATGTAATTTGTGTACATACTCAGGCATGATCTGTACAGTTTGCCACATATATGTTATTCACATGCAGTATTTCCCACGTTTTCCCAAAGCTGCCTTCTGTTATCCCCTTTTGGTGGTCAAGTTCAGGCTGAGTGGGTGATGCCTTAATTCATTACTACCTTTTATGTATGAGAGAAGGGGTGTGGTAAGCAGCCTTCCAGATGGCCCCAACAATCTTTACTTCTTGGTTTTCATGCCTTTGTATAGGTCCCTCCCACACTGAATAAGGCTGACCTGTGCCTGGCCAATGCCATGTTGTGGAAATAATGGTGTGGGACTTCGTAGGCTAGTTCATAAAAGACACTGTGACTTATGCTTTATGCTCTCACTGATCACTGACTCTGGGGGCAGTCAGCTGCCATGTTGTGAGGACATTCAAGCAGTGTTATGGAGAGGTCTATGTGGCAAGAAACTGAGGCTGCCTGTCAACAGCCATTTTGTGAGGGCACCATCTTGGAAGCGGATCTGTCAGCCCCAGTCAAGCCCTCAGAGGACTGCAGCCCCTACCAACATCTTGACTAAACCTGATAAGAGATCCTGAGCCAGAATCACAGAGCTAAGCCCTCTTGGATCCCTGACCCTCAAAAACTGTGTAATGTAATAAATGTTTATTGTGTTTACGTTTGGGATAATCTATTATGCAGTTAGTGAGAGCCAGTGTTTGTTTATTGAGGTGAAATTCATATAACATAAAATTATCCAATTTGAAGTGAAGAATTCACTGGCAGTTAGTACTTTGCAGAGTTGCACAACTACCACTTCTAGCTGGTTCCAAAATATTTTCATCACTCGAAAGGAAACCCACACCCATTAAGCAGTTACTCCCCACCTTCCCTCCCCTCAGCCCCTGGCAACTACCAATCTGCTTTCTGTCTCTACAGATTTACTTATTCTGCATATTTCAAATGGATGAAATCATACAATATGTATCCTTTTGTGTCTGGATTCTTCCACAAAGCATAATGTTTTCAAGTTTCATCCATGTTGTAATATCTACCAGCACTTCATTCCTTTCATGGCTGGATAATAATACTCCATCGTATGGATATAACACATTTTGTTTACCTACTCATTTATTGATACTCATTTTGGCTGTTTCTACCTTTTGGTTGCTGTGAATCCGTGTGTCCATGACCTTGAGTCCTTGTTTTCAATTCTTTTGGGGGTACACCCGGGCAAGGAATTGCAGGGTCATTTGGTCATTTTCTGTCTAACTTTTTGAGGAGCCATCAGACTGTTTTCCACAGCAGCTGAACCATTTTACATTCCCACCAACAAAGCATGAGGGTTCCACTTTCTCCTTATCCTCGCAGACACTTGTGATTTTGTGATTTTTTTATTATAGCCATCCCAGAGGCTACGAGGTGCTATCTCCTTGTGGTTTTTATTTGCATTTCCCTAAGAGAGGAATATTATTCAAAATGTCAGCTATCAAAGTATGAATTTGGGCCTTAGGAGGAATGCCACATTGAGGTGAACTCATGAACTCATTAATCCACTCGCTCCTTGAACAAACACTCCTGTGCATCTTCTACAGAATAGGCCCCAGGTGCTGCCGAGATCTCAGAGGTCAGTAAGACGAGGTCTTTGCCCCCAAAGAGCTTGCAGGCCACTGGAGAAATGAGATGTTTAACTTTGCATGAATTTCGAATTTCTTCTGACTGTGAGCAGTTTTGAAGGAGACGTGAGGAAGTGTTGGCAGACTTAACCTCACACAGATACAGGACTCGGGGGCGGGGGTGGGGGGAAGCCAGGAGCCAAGATTCTAAAAGTTCATGAGACAACATTGCCAGATTCACAATTTTGTCCAGGGGCAGACCTTTCCAGGCCGAATGAATGAGCACATGCTTGTGGCAGCCCACCCCAGATCTCCCCCACCCCTTGGCATGTTCAGGTGCACCAGGGCTGGACTTGGCTTTCCCTGTGCTAGAAGACAGCCCAGTTGACAATACACCTGTTTAGCTTTAGAGTTGGGGCTGTCAGTGGGGGAGAGAGTTGTCTTTTTCGCTCATCAGCTCCCAGTTCTAAACCCTGAGCTTAGGCTTTGGATCAGGCTTCATTCAACTCACCCCTGCCATCAACACAGTCTTACACAAAGAATGGCCCCCTCCTATTCTGATGCTGCCATATTCCTGTTCATTCCTTTAGCTTAGACAGATTAGGAATTGTAAGGTGTGCTTACACTGAACTTAAACTTGGCATTTGACTGGCTTATACTGATCACTACCAGGCCTCCATTTGTCCCCTCTCCCCCTGGCTGGAGTCTATAGGTCCTGTACAGCTTGCCTATATATTTTATGACATAATCTGCTTCTGCTTGCTGGGTTTCCTTTTCTTGCCTTTCAAAATGATTCATTTCATCTTAACAAATGAATCTGAACTGCCTACAATGGGCAAGGCACTATGATCGTACTGAGGAGTCAGAAATTAATTAAGTCTGACATGGTCTCTGGCTTCACAGAGTTGACACGCTAAAATGGGATATAGCATTGAACACATTCATCCATTTGTTCCATTGGTTATTTATCCGACAAATATTTATTCTTACTGGGTAGTAGGCAGCATTCTAGGTGTAGGGAACACAGTGGTGAGCCAAATAGAATGGTCTTTGATAACAAGGAACTCGGTTATGGAGGAGATAGGAACTTAGTGCATAAACATGCCCATCATCTGCCCCTCCCTGTGTCTTCACTTCCTCCCTTACTCAGCTTAAATTCTGTGGCCAGGTATTATAATCACTACCTTAAATATGCCCTCAATTCCCTTGCCCTTCTCTTGTTTCAATGAACCTCTCGATTAACCACATCTTTGCCTACTCCATTGAGTAGGACAAAGCTGGAGAAAAACACATAGCCACGTGGAGTGTTCTATCTTTAAAAGCTTGTTCACTGACCAGTAATGTGCCCTTCAAACTGACAAGTGATTGTACTGTATTTCTTAAGTCCAGTCATACCCACTCTTTGCTAGGCAACTACTGCATGCCCTGTTTCTCTACCTAACCGTCCAGTATCTCTTCTCCATCCTCACTCTCTGACAATGATCTTGTGTGGTTTGTGGTACTTAGCTCCATTCCTCATCTTCCAAGATCTTTCCTGGATTGCAGGAGGCAGAACGATTCAAAACTACATTTCCCAGACCCTCTTGCTAGCTGCTTTATCATTAGGTTCTGCCAAGAGGAGGCGTTGACCCTAGGTTGGAAGGCAGGAGATGGGGAGATGTCATTCTGGTTTTGGCTCCTGCAAACCTGCTGCTTACAGGTGCAGGCTCCAACAATCAGCATTTCTGGCGCCGATGAGAGGGTGGCTCCTGCTCAACCTTAGCAGTGGCTTTACTAGCCAATCAACAGTCCCCTCACAGGTACCACTTCTCCCATTGACATCTTCAGCTTTTCCAAGTCCTTGCATTACATTTCTCTGCTTGAGAATGTTTCCTGTTTTCCAGATTGGACACTGACTAATAAGCCTTGCTCCTTCTTCATTAAGAACATGGGAGCGATCTGGAAAGGACTTCCCTATGTTCCCACCACCATGGCTGCTTGTCCACCACCGTGTGTGTGTGTGTGTGTGTGTGTTTGTGTGGGTACTCTGATTTCTCTCCTATTTCTAAGGACTGACTTTGCACAGTCCCACCTAAGGCCGATCTCTGCTTCTGATCTAGGTCCCATATCTTCCCTCTCATCAATTTCTCTGCCATGCGTCATCCATTGTTGCTTCTCTTCCCTATTATTCCCATAAGCAGAAATACATGCTGCCATGTCTCCCACATTCAAAGGAAATAAAACAATGGCAGAAATAAAACAAAAAGGAAATTCCTCTCCTGATAGCACTTCTCCCTCCAGATACCATTCCTTTTCTTTCCTTCCATTTAGAGAAAAATTCCTTGAAAGAGAGGTCTACAATGTCTCTTCCCTACTTCCCTCGAGCCCATTCCCGTGAAGCTTAGCCCCAAATACTCTGTGAAAATGCCCTTAACAAAGCTAATGACTTCCACAACCACTAAATGCAAAGGTTAATTCTTAGCTCTTCTCTTCTTTGACAAAGCAGCAGCATCGGACACCTGGAGCCCCTCTCTTCCCTCAGGGGGCCTCCAGGACACCGCTGTTCCCACCATTCTGGCTCTC